CCTTCCTTCCTTTCCTTTCCCCCGCCCAGGTAGCCCCATGTGCCATCATCTCCCCTTCCTGACAGGCTGTGATTTTTTTTGGTTTGCTTGCTTTGTTCTTTTTTTGTGTGGTTTGTTTCTTTGTTTGTTTTTTGATATCGTTTTATTGCTTTTTTTGTTGCCTTTCTCTCTCTCCCTTATTTCCGTTCTCCTGTCCAGCTAGCCCTGTGTGCCATCCCCTCCACTTCTTGACTGGCTGTGAGTTTTTTAGTCTGTTTGCTTTGTTCCTTTTTTTAACTTAATTTTTTTTTTCATGTGTGGTTTTTTGTTTGTTTTGTTTATTTGTTTGTGGGGTATTTTTTGGCTTTTTTTTTTTTGGTTGTTGTTGCTTTTCTCTCTCTCCCTTCCTTCCTTTTCTTTCTCCCACCCAGCTAGCAACATGTGGCATCCCCTCTCCTTGTAGATAGGCTGTGATTTTTTAGTTTATTTGCTTTGTTCCTTTTTTTTGGGGGGGGGGTGTTTTTGTTTGTTTGTTGTTTTTTGATACTGTATTTTTGGCTTTTGTTGTTGTTGTTGCTTCTCTTTCTCTCCCTTCCTTCCTTTCCTTTCTCTTGCCCAGCTAGCACCATGTGCCATCCCCTCCCTTTCCTGATGGACTGTGACTTTTTTGGCTTGTTTACTTTTTTTTTTCTTTTCTTTTCCTTCTTTTCTTCTGCTTTTTCTCTCTCTTTCCTTTCCTTCCTCTCCTTCCACCCACTGAGCCCGGTGCACCACCCCCACGCATTCTGGAGGGGCCGTGCTGCACAGCTCAGTTGGAGAGTCATTGCACATGGCCTCCCCAGATCTGTGCCACCATCACTGACAAACTCCCTCAACACCATTTTAATTATTTATTTATTGTTTATTTGTTTTATTTTTCTTATTTTTTTTTTGTTATTGTTTCTTTTTTCTCTCTTCCTTCCTTCCTTTCATTTCTCCCATCCACCCAGCCCTGTGAGCAGCCCCCAACTTCTTGGTGTCAGAGCTGTACCACTCAGCTGGAAAGCCTCTGGCACATTGTCTCCCTGGGTCTGCGTCACCCCCGCAGGCCAGCTCCCTCAGTGCCATATTTTTTTATTTTTTTATCTTTCCCCTTCTCCTTTTCCTTATCCCTCCCACATAGGCCCTGTAGTGCCCCGTCCCTCCCTGTGCCATGAAACCCAGTGAGAGAGACATCAGCTCACTGCCACCCTAATTCCGTCTTGCCTTCAATGTTGCACCTCCAACACCATACTTTTATTGTTGTTGTTATTTATTTATTTATTTTATTTTTTTGTTTGATTGTTGGTTTTTCTCCCTCTTACCTCCTTTTCCTTTCCTTTCTCCCGCCACCTAGCCCTGCACACCACCCATGCTGATTCTCAACAGGCCAAGCCACCCTGTTCAGCTAGAGAGCCACTAGCACATGGCCTTGCAAGGTCTGCCCTACCCCACCCACCCAATCCTATTTTATTTACTTTTTTATTTTTATTTTTTTATTTACATCTTTTACTTCATTTTTTGCCTTTGTTTTTAAATTTTTTTTGCCTTGTTTCTCTCTCTTCTTTCTGTTCTTTAACCCACACACTTAGCTCTGCCCATCACATCCTCTTCTTTCCCTCCTGCCTATCTGCACCACACACCGAGTTCCACACCCCGATCAGTACTGATGGGGTCCTCCAGACCACACCGTGCACTGTCCCCCATCCCTATCCCATCGCACCCAGTTCATGCAGCAAACTACTCATACACTCCCCTCCACCCCTGTGGACCCGCCCTGCTGCACCATAGCTGAGTGACCGGCCTTGCCCACCTGCACAAGGTGGTGAGATGTATCATGCCCACAGGTGAGTAAGCAACAAAATGCACTGAGCCTGCCTGCCCAGACATAATGAAATGAAACAAAAAAGGGGAACAAAATGGTAGATGACCACCCAATATTGGGTGGTCGAAAGCAAATGGAAGAAATGATGATGTAAAGGAGCTTAACAGGATTTCAAAGAGGAGCTCAAGAAGACAAAATAAGAATTACAAAGAAATGTGCAAAGACTGAAGTTAGAAAGCCAAAAGGGAAGAACACACTCATCATTTCTCAAGTGGAAATAACTAAAGAAAAAAATTCAACTCTCAAGTTGCGTAGTGAAGGATTCTATGGGCAAAATACTGAATGACACAGGAAGCATCAAAAGAAGATGGAAGGAATACAGAATCACTTAACCAAAAGGAATTGGTTGATGTTCACCCATTTCAGGAGGAAGCATATGATCAAGAACCAATGGTACTGAAGGAAGAAGTTGAAGCTGCACTGAAGGGAATGGCAAAAAACAAGGCTCCAGGAATTAACAGAATACCAAATAAGATGTTTCAACAAACGGATGCAGCACTGGAAGCATTCACTTGTCTATGCCAAGGAATTTGGAAGACAGCTTCGTGGCCAATTGACTGGAAGGGATCTATATTTGTGGCCATTCCAAAGAAAAGTGATCCAACAGAAAGCAGATATTATCAAACAACATCATTAATATCACACACAAGCAAAATTTTGCTGAAGATAATTCAAAAAAGGTTGCAGCAGTACATTGACAGGGAACTGCCAGAAATTCAAACCAGATTCAGAAGAGGACATGGAACAAGAGATATCATTGCTGATGTCAGATGGATCTTAGCTGAAAATACAGAATACCAGGAAGATGTTTACCTGTGTTTTATTGGCTATGCAAAGGTATTGGACTGTGTGGATACTAACAAATTATGGAAAACATTGCAAAGAATGGGAATTCCAGAACACTTAATTGTGCTCATGAGGAACATGTACATAGACCAAGAGACAATTGTTCAAACAGAACAAGGGGATACTGTGTGGTTTAAAATTAAGAAAGGTGTGGGTCAGGGTTGTATGCTGTCACCATACTTATTCAATCTGTATGCTGAGCATATAATCCAAGAAGCTGGACTATATGAAGAAGATAGTGGCAACAGGATTGGAGGAACACTCATTAACAACTTGTGATATGCACATGACACAACCTTGCTTGTTGAAAGCTAAGAGAACTTGAAGCACTTACTGATGAAGATCAAAGACTACAGCCTTCAGTATAGATTACACTTCAACATAAACAAAACAAAAATTCTCACAACTGAACCAAAGCAATGTCATGATAAATGGAGAAAAGATTGAAATTGTCAAGGATTTCATTTTACTTTGACCCACAGTCAACACCTATGAATGCAGGAGTCAAGAAATCAAAGACATATTAGGTTGGGAAATCTGCTGCAAAAGACCTCTTTCAGGTGTTAAAAACCAAAGATATCACTTTGAGGACTTAGAGCATTCAGCAATTGGGGCTTATATCCAGAGTTATTAACTCCACTTATTCCATGAGTGAACTTGCCTCTTACACGACATGCACTCATCAATGAAATTATCTCACCACCAGATTTGACCTAATCCTTGGCAAACAGAAACTGAACAATCTTAGAAACCCAATGGTGAGTGGTGAGTGGCAACTGGACAAACAACTGGGGAGTGGCCTGTAGAATAAACCCATGGTTTCTGATTGTTTGGAGAAGGAAACACTTTACACAGCTAACCACTGACTCACCATCTTGAAAAGACCTACACAATCTCTTGAAGCCCTATCCCCTAAGGAACCACTCTTCAGTGCCACTCTTTATCTGCCCATGTCTCCTTGGTGGGACAAGTCCAACCTTTGTCTTTAGCTCTGCCGTCTCTTCTCTGTACCACTGTACAAATATTAAAGATTTACAACTTTATCTCTGTCAATGTTTTTCATAATATCATGCTCATCTTCCACCCACAAGACTTCTCATCAGTGCTAGGATCCACTGTTAGAGAAGACTCCTAAAACACAGTCAGAAACCAAACCCAAACCCATTGCCATCCAGTCAATTCCAACTCATAGCGACCCTATAGGACAGAGTAGAACTGCCCCAAAGGGTTTCCAAACAGCAACTGGTGGATTTGAACTGCCGGCCTTTTTTGGTTAGCATCCATAACTCTCAACCACAGCTCCTCATTATCTTATTGCCTGACTTACGGAAACAATGGGGATTGCCTCCACTATTAGGCTAACTAGAACTAAAGCAGTTCATCTACTGCAATAGAGGCTGCACGTATTTCTCCTGAGTTATATCACCCCTTTCTTTTATCTACAAACTGCTAATGATGCAAATGGATTCTTTTTAATTTCTTACCTTTCAATTTCAGAGTTACATGCTGAATCAACTTGATAGACCTATATAGGCAATATAGCAAAAAACCTTGAAATCAGAAAGACCTGGTTCAATAAGAGTCAACTACTTAATGTTAAAAAAAGTGTCTCTGATTCAATTTTCTCATCTTCAAAATGGGGATAGTAGTAATGCCTACCTCATTTGCTTGTACTGAAGAATAAAGTCATTTATATGAGGTACTTGGCCCAGTTAGCAAATGGAAGTGATTAGATGATGATGATAATGATGATAATAATTTTGAAGTGAAAAAAATTACAAAGCCGCAAGATTTAGGAAATCAGAGTGTTTATTAAGGTCAAATAAACATATTTCCATGATTATTGTCATAAATATTAATAATAGCCATAAAATCAAGTAGCAATATCACATATTTCTATAAATAAATTCACATTAATAAAATGGCATAAATGTATACTTACAACAATAAATAAATTAATAAATATAAAGTATTTGTTACATGGAAGTATGAAGTTATTTAACTTTTTTCCCCCTAGAGTAACGGGAAGCAATCCCTTTTGTGGGAATAGATAATTGCCTAAAAAATTAAAATATTTTCCCTATGTAAGACACCTGTTACAATAAAACGTTATCACTAAATCTCTTTATGTTTGAAAGGTCTACTTTCTAGTCAGATAGGCACAAGTGACGTTGTTTTCCTCCTTAAGCTAAGCAGAGGTTCATTTGGAATCCACTCATGATGGTGAAGTTTGACTTTCCATTTTCTTTTAGGTAAAAAAAAAAAAAAAAATGCATCTTATTGTTGTTTCTAACAGGCAAAAAGTGTTGGTCACTCATTTTCCAGTTTTGCTCTGGTCAAACACAGGCATTCCTCAGGGCCATGAACAGCAAACCCAGTTCTCCAATTGCTTTAATCTCTCCACTCTCTCCAAGCTGTGAAATAAGAACACAAAAGTGTTTGAGCATTTTCACCTTTCTTTCCAAAAAGGAACAAATTAGAGTGAAATTGCATGATTCGTTTCATGGAGACACGAATCAAGCTTTAACCTTTTGAAAAAGATATAAAAAGGATATCCTTTTAGCAAGAGTGTAATAGGACTTGCCAAAGACCTTAAAACTGTGGTTGGTGCAACTGAGCGAGCACCAGCAGGCATCCTCTCAACTGTACCTCACACAGATGGAGCTGTTTAAAACCTAAGCAGAGGGTTGGCCACCCTGTTCCTCACTAAAGCAAACATATCAAAGTTGTGCTGGGACTTGGGGATCCCGAATGCCATCCACATGTCTTGCCCTGTGTCATAGTGCCACAACTGTCTATGACCAGTTATTTATAACAACTCAGCTCAAACAGCCTAAATCAAAATCACACATTTACCAACTTTAGCTTTACTTGTGCTCACCTTCTTGACAAAAAAAAAAAAAAAAAAGTTTCACTTTCATGGGAAAAATACCAAATAAGTCCTTTCCAGTTGCTTTAATTAATAGAACATCAGATACAGGTCCTAACACCCAGTCCCTTTCTCCTCCTTTCAAGTAGTATAGAGATGAGTGTGGCTCTCAAACTCAATGGGACAGAGAAACCAAATTCAAACTCAAAGCATCCTCCACTGAAATTCATCTATTACATTTGCTCTGGATTATTTTGTTAAAAATCATAAATCACCATTGTCCCATATACTGTGGTCTCCTTTCTATCCCTCCTTTCTTCCACCACCCCACTTTTCCATGCTTCCTTTGACATAGTGACAAAGGATATTTTTTATATCTCAGACTCCCAAGACTATAAAGAATTTTGAAGCTCACCTTGCCCTGCTCTCATACACTCTACTGCAGCCTGCTCTCCCTTTTGTCTCCAGTGATGGGGAACTAATACCTCCCAAGACTGCCCCCCCCGCCCCCACTTCAGACCAGTTGAGCTTTCTCTGGATAACTTTCTTCTCTTGCATGTGTTTTCTGGGGCTACGGAAAAAAAGCACAATCACTCTTCCACATGGCAAATGTGAGAGTTGATTCTCCGCAAAATGGATTAAAGGTTTTAAAATCTCTCTTTACCCATTGTCATGGATTGAATTGTGTGCCCAGAAAATATCCGTCAACTTGGCTAGGTCATGATTCCCAGTATTGTATGATTGTCTACCATTTTATCCTCAGACGTGATATCCCTGTGTGTTGTAAATTGTATCACTTTAATGTAATAAGATGGATTAGTGGCAATTATATTGATGACATCTACAAGATTAGACAGTATCTTAAGTCGATCTCTTTGAGATATAAAAGAGAGAAGCAAGCAGAGAGACAGGGGAACCTCATACCATCAAGAAAGCAAGGCCAGGAGCAGAGTGCATCCTTTGGAAGGAGTTTCCTGTGCGTAGAAGCTCCTAGTCTGGGGAAGACTGATGACAAGGACTTTCCTCTAGAGCCGACAGAGAGAGAAAGCCTTCTCCTGGAGCTGACCCTCTGACTTTGGACTTCTATCCTACTAGACTGTGAGAAAATAAATTTCTCTTTGTCAAAGCCGTCCATTTATGATATTTCTGTTACAGCAGCACTAGGTAACCAAGACACACATACAGATCACAATCAAATTTTGCTCACTTCACTTTTATATAGACTACAAAATATGCTGACATCAGGGTTATTTTTAAGGAAAAAGTACAAAACGCTTCTTGGCTATGGCGTACTAATATTCAGCCCTCTGCATCTAAGTAATAGTTCTATAACAACAGAATTGTTCTTCATAATGAGAAACTGCAAAGCCTTCCCAAAGGAAGAAACAATTATGTTCATGAAATTATACTTGGGAAGAAATTTTTAAATATATATATCTATATCTCAAGATCAAAAAAAGAGAGAAATGAGGTTAAGTTTGATACTGAAAATTCCATCAACTAGAGCCTGCATAGTTCTGAGAGTTTAATTGCACCTGCTTGCAGGACCATCACTTTCTCACCTACTGGTCATTCCTCAGAGTCCCTGAGTGGTGCAAACAGTTAACACGGTTAAATGAAAGGTTGGAGGTTCATGTCCACCCAGAGGCACCTCTGAAGAAAGGCCTGGAGATCTGCTTCTGAAAAAATCAGCCAATGAATGCCCTATGGAGCACAGTTCTACTCTAACCACACTTAAGTTCGCCATGAATCAGGATCAACTAGAGGACAACTGGTTTAATCATTCCTCTGGATTTTGGGTGAGTCACAACAGGTGGAGTCTTTTGATGTTGAGTCTTATCCCCAGCAAGACCATCCGAGAGTATCATTCAATATGGAAACATATACTGGTCCATGATAGATAGATAGTCAATAGAGATTTGTTAAGGGAAGCGGGAAGGAAACCAGAAACAAGGAGGAGGAGAGAGAAAGAAAAAATGATTTCCAATTCAGATTTCCTTTTCACTCAAATAAAGCAATCTTTGCTAATGTTTTCACTCTATTTAAAACTCTGAAAAAAAAATCAAGGTTTTTTTCCAATTGTTGCTTATAAACAGAAACTGATAGGTGTTGGGCTTTTTTAGGATAATTAAATGTAAGTATCAATCATTCCAGAAATTTTCCCTATGTGGCAGTCTAGTTCTTTTGTTATTGCTATTCTAAGTTTATTTTTCCAAATTTTAAATCATCGAAATAACATCTCTAAAAATCACTTCAAAATAAATTTTTCCAAGGCACTTTTCTAGTTTTTAACAAGTTTTTCTCACATTACATGAGTCAATAGGTAACTGAAATTCCCCTAAGAATTAATAATACTACAGCTAAATATGTCTTGCTGCTGGGAAAAAGTGCTGGTCTAGAATTCAGGAGAACTGTGTTCTAGCCCTGGCTCTGTCACTGGCCATTGGAGATCATGGGGTAATGAGACTAGATGACCTAAGTTCCCAGCAACTGCTAGAATTCTATGATTTCGAAATTTAGAATTTGATTTATAGATATATAGACATATATATACCTATGCACTTAAATGATCACTCTGATGGTAGAAGAATAAAACAGAAATCACAGAGTAAAAAAAGGAAAGAAAGACAACATTTGTCTCTCCTATTTAACAACTTAGCATTAATAGTTATCAGTAGTACCTTTTTCACTGTGTCCTTCAGCTTTTGCACATTTCTCTGGATATGCTGGTCATCACCCTGAATGTGCTACAAAATGAAAACAAGAGGAACTATTTTAATGCGGTTATGCTGAAGCTTAATGAAACTCAGCCTCTCTATATGGGGCATGTTACAATTCACCTGGGATGAAAGCTTCTAGTAATTTTACCCACAGTGACCTAGATTCCACCAATGACCTAGATTTCCTGGGCTCTTGAATTCCCTTGGACACCAAAATCCAGTCACTTCCCTTACATGGGACCTCTCTTCAACTTTAGGAAACCCTACTGAGGTTTCAGTTTGTGGAAAAAGTTGAGCAGTTTATACAAATTCCCTCAGGAATAAAACCCAGATTGTACCGCATCAAAAACATGCCTTCAGAACAAGAAAAGTGCATAAACGTCAGGAGTGAACAGTAGCCCCTCTATGATAAATACTAGGTGCCCATTCCACTCAAAACTTTTCTCAGAGTGTTACGTGTTCAGAGGCATCAAGTTCACACACCTCTCTGACTCTGTCACGTCCCATGACATCAAAGGGGCCACAGTCTCTGCACACCCATCCTGAACATTAAACCTTCCCACTCTCCTCTTTTTCACTTTCTGTTTCCCATGCCCCTCCCCCAAGAACTTTAACTCAGTTTCTCCATTTCCTCAGCTAGGCTTTTTGCCTTAAAGCTCTAACACATTCTTCATCACACATAACCTAAGTTGTTGTTCTCTAGGAACAAGTGAAGCTTCCATGTACTCGTTTTTTTGCACCCTGTTCACCACCATAAACTCAAAATGTGACTCAAAGTAAAAACAAACACTCTCTTATTCCAAATGACTTTTGACAATAGTGTTGCTGAGGCACCTCTTACTGCCAATATCCTGGGAGTAGAGGGGACAGAAGAGGAGGGGAAGAGTGTGGGTTAAGGTGAAGAAAGGGGCTTTAAATGGAAGAAGGAGAGAAGTAAGGAAAGCAGCTAGGAATGGGTGGACTTGGGCTGAGAGGAGAACTTACGCATTGGCTTAGCTTGTTGCTGAGTCTGTCCAGGAAGGGCACCACCTCCTGCATATAGGGCTGGAATCTATCGGACTGGGGAAGCAGCACTTCTTCAAGAGTGAAGTTCAGCACCTGTTTCATCAGATAGCAGCGCTCACTCATCTGCAGAGCAAAAGTTAAACAGCAGGGATCACTCACAAAAGGCAGAAGTCCAGAAGACCCAAACCATCATCACCACCCTTCAAATAACCACAGCTGGCACCCTGACTAGGCTTACATGGACTCCGTGGAACAGTTTCTCCCCAGTGAGACGAACATCAGTGTTGTTATCTGCCAAACTGGCCTGGAAAAGAAGAAAAGACTAAGTACCTGGACACTGAAGAGATAGAAGTCTGTAAGTAGAGATATACCCCAGCCCCTCTGCCCAGAGCAATCCCATGAAGACCAAAGAAAGAATTCAGATGTGTGCATGAGTTTAATAGAATGTACCAAGGTGTGAAGCAAAAAAGAAATCATTAGGTGGGCTACCAAATAGCTCCTCTTTGAGTAAAACTCAATGTTCCGTATCCTAAAGACCAAAATAAAATGTCCTTTGGTATAATTAGCTCTCCAAAGAGTCTACGACAAAAAAAACCTGTTGCTGTTGCTTGATTCAGACTAATAGCTATCCTTTAGGACAGAGTAGAACTGCCACATAGTGTTTCTAAAGAGTGGCTGGTGGATTCAAAATGCCAACCTTTTGGTTAGCAGCCTACCTCTTAACCACTGCACCACCAGGGCTCAAAAAGTCTGTAAAAGGACATAGAATACTATTTCTGGTCTACCAGTGGGTATAAGTGTTGGGTATTTGAAGACCTTAGAAATCCTCTGAAGAAAATTGTATGAACTATTTAGGTTCCAAGTAAACAAAATGAGAAAGAGAGATTGAGACAAGTACCTCCTTAGCCAGCATGAAGGTGCGGTTGGTGATATAGGGCTGCTGGAAGTTCGCCTTGTCGAGCC